TCAAAGCGTTGTGGTCAGAAAAGATGCTTGATATGATTTCAATTTTCTTTAATTTACCAAGGCTTGATTTGTGACCCAAGATGTGATCTGTCCTGGAGAGTGTTCCATGTGCATTTGAGAAGAAAGTGTAATCTGCTGTTTTCAGATGGAATGTCCTATAAATACCAATTAAATCTGTCTGGTCTATTGTGTCATTTAAAGCTTGTGTTTCCTTATTCATTTTCTGTCTGGGTGATCTGTCCATTGGTGTAAGTGAGGTGTTAAATTCCCCCACTATTACTATGTTACTGTCAGTTTCCTCTTGTATAGCTGTTAGCATTTGCCTTAAGTATTGAGGTGCTCTTATGTTGGGTGCATATATTATATTTATAATTGTTATATCTCCTTCTTGCATTGATCCCTTGATCATTATGTAGTGTCCTTGTGTCTTGTAACATTGTTTATTTTAAAGTCTAGTTTTCTGATATGAGTATTGCTACTCCAGCTTTCTTTTGATTTCCATTTGCATGGAATATCTTTTTCCATCCCCTCATTTTCAGTCTGTCTTTGCCCCTAGGTCTGAAGTGTGTCTCCTGTAGACAGCATATATATGGATCTTGTTTTTGTATTCCATTCAGCAAGCCTGTGTCTTTTGGTTGGAGCATTTAATCCATTCACATTTAAGATAATTATCGATATGTATGTTCCTCTTACCATTTTCTTAATTGTTTTGGGTTTGTTTTTGTACGTCCTTTTCTTCACTGTGTTTCCCACTTAGAGAAGTTCCTTTAGCATTTGTTGTAGAGCTGGTTTGGTGGTACTGAATTCTCTTAGCTTTTGCTTGTCTGCAAAGCTTTTGATTTCTCCATCGAATCTGAATAAGATCCTTGCCAGGTAGAGTAATCTTGGTTCTTCCATTTCATTACTTTAAATATATTGTGCCACTCCATACTGGCTTGTAGAGTTTATTCTGAGAAATCAGCTGTTAACCATATGCGAGTTCCCTTCTATGTTATTTGTCATTTTTCCCTTGTTGCTTTTAATAATTTTTCTTTGTCTTTAATTTTTGCCAATTTGATTACTATGTGTCTCGGTGTGTTTCTCCTTGGATTTATCCTGCCTGGGACTTTCTGCGCTTCCTGGGCTTGGGTGGCTATTTCATTTCCCATGTTAGGGAAGTTTTCAAATATAATCTCTTCAGGTATTTTCTCAGGTCCTTTCTCTCTCTCTTCTCCTTCTGGGACCCCTATAATGTGAATGTTGGTGTGTTTAATGTTGTCAGAGAGATCTCTTAGGCTGTCTTCATTTCTTCTCATTCTTTTTTCTTTTGTCTATTTCATGGCAGTGAATTCCACCATTCTGTCTTCCAGGTCACTTATCCATTCTTCTGCCTAAGTTATTTTGCTATTGATGCCTTCTAGTGTGTTTTTCATTTCAGTTATTGTATTGTTCATCTCTGTTTGTTCTTTAATTCTTCTGTGTGTTTGTTCTTTATTTCTTCTAGGCCTTTGTTAAACATTTCTTGCATCTTCTCGATCTTTGCCTCCATTCTTTTTCTGAGGTCTTGGATCGTCTTCGCTATGATTATCCTGAATTCTGTTTTCTGAAAGGTTGCCTATCTCCACTTCATTTAGTTGTTTTTCTCGGGTTTTGTCTTATTCCTTCATCTGGTACATAGTCCTCTGCGTTTTCATTTTGTCTGTCTTTCTGTGGATGTGGTTTTTGTTCCACAGGCTGCAGGATTGTAGTTCTTCTTGCTTCTGCTGTCTGCCCACTGGTGGATGAGGCTATCTAAGAGGCTTGTGCAAGCTTCCTGATGGGAGGGACTCCTGCCAATTTTTTTATGGCATCTTCATCATTACACAGGGCAAAGGCTGGGAAAATAACAGGAGAGCTGAGACTGTACCTGCAGCTCCCCTTGGCTCTGCAGAGTGCCAACCACAGTTACATTAGCCTGACTCCTTATTTATTCCACTTCTGCCATCACCTGGCTTTCTACTATAGCTTCCTAAATAGGAGCTCCTAGATATATATATTTTGGTATGCTATTGCTAGAAAATATTACTGCATAAAAAGATTTGTTTCTGTTCTTTCTATTCTGTTCTATTGGCGTTGTGTATTCCTACACCAATGACTGAGATCTTTAATGATTATATATTTATAGTAAGTCCTGGTATTTTGTGGGCAAGTTAACCCACCTTGTAATATATGAGAATTTATTTGTTTTTGGTCTTTGCACTTTCTTGTAAATTTTAGAGTTAATTTGTCAAATTCTACTATTGCACTCAAGCTGTACATCAAATTTGAGAGATTTACATATAGGATATCAAGATACATCTTTTTGTTTACAAACATTAAATGTCGCAATTTTGGAAAGTTTTGTAATGCTTACAATCAGTGTTCATGATTTTCTTCATAAAGCTCTTATTCATTTTTGTTAGGTTAATCTTAGGTACTTTGTATTTTTATGCTATGTTATTTGTATCTTATAAAATATTTTAAAGCTATTGCTAGAGAAATGTAACAAATTTCTGTATATTGAATTTTCCATCTACAAACCTAGCTACATTATCATAATGGTTAGATTTTTATTTCCTCCTTTCATAATTGAAGTATCTGTAAATGATTGCCTAAATTTTCTTGCTTTCCAACTTGTAATACTTTCTTCTTCTTGCCTTGCTACACTGGGAAAGACCTCTAGAATAATACTGAATAGACAGTATGAAAGCAGGCATTTTGTTTTGTTTTGTTCCTGATATTAAGGGGAATGTTTTCTTGTTTCTTGTGATTAGTCAGCCTGCCTTTCTGTCTCTCTTTCTCTTTCAAAACCATGTATCAGGTTAAAGGATGTTTCCTCTTCCCATAATATTTTTTCATGAATATTTGTTTTTATGCTTCCTAAAATTCTTCCAGCCTCTGCCACTATTGCCTTATTTCAAAGCCATTTCTATAGTTTTAGTTATGTGTTGCAACAGCACCCTACTTTCAGGTAGCAAAATCTGTATTACTTTTTAATTTGCTGCTCAGTGGGTTGCTTTATTGGCTGCTTTAGGGTTTACAGTCTTGTTTTTAACTTACTGTAGTTTCTATTCAAATGACATTGAATCACTTCATGTATAAGAATCTTGAAACATACTTTCATTTGTCCCTTTCTGGCCTTTGTGCAATTGTTTTTATACATTTTACTGCACAACACATTGTTATTAATTTTGCTGTAAAATATTACCTTTTATAGAGATTTAAATAACAAGAAAACAGTCTTTATATTTACCCACATAATTATCTTTTGTTCTTCTTTGTGTATTTTCTTATTTCTATCTGGTATCATTTTTCTTCTCCTTGAAGGATTCTTTATCTTTTTTGTGCAGGGCTGCTGCTGCTGAATTCTTTCACCTCTTTGATTTCCAGACAAAAAAAAATTTCTTTTGCCATCAGTTTTGAAAGATATTTTTCCTGGATAAAGAATTCTAGGTTGAGTGGTTTAAAGATATTGCTCCTTTGTCTTCAGGCTTGCATTATTTCTTAAAAGAAATCTGTTTTCTTGTTTATTCTTGTGTGTATTCTGCTTTTCTCCGCTGTCTGCTTTTAAGATTTTCTTTTTATTCCTGCTTTTAAATAATTTGATTATGATGTATCTTGGGGGGTAGTTTTCCTTGTACTGTTGTGGATTTGTGGATATACAGTTTTCATCAAAGTTGAAAAAAATTGGCCATTATTTCTTCAAATAGTTATTCTCTTTTCCCACCCCTTCTCTCCATGAATTCCAACTGTAAGTATATTAATCCACTTGAAGTTGTCCCACAACTTACTGATGATCTGTTCGTTATTTTTTAGTCTTTTTTCCCTTTCGTTATTTTAGTATGTTTTGATTGCCAGTATATTAGATTTTTCTTAATAAGAAATATGTACCAAAACTCGTGTTTAAACTGGAAAATTATTTGTCAGCCTTAACAATTCTCATTAAAAATGTATTATTATACTTATTTTCTATATTTTATAGGAATTGTTACACTTGGGGTTTAACTTGTGATAACTTTGCTACAGTGAATTTGGTATCTGTTGGAGGTTGTGGTCTGAAATAGGAAATGATCTCCCAATACCTAATAGTGTCTATTATTAAGCTCATCTAAAATTTTCAATACTCTAATTGTCAAATTTTTTCTATACTTTCTTGTAGAAAATAATCCAGTACTACATAGTAGTTGAAGAATACTTTAAAACCTGTGGTCAGTTCTGCTCTAATATTTGTTTTGAAATGCACATTTGTTACAACATGACAGAACAGTTTGAGCATAATGTGAATTTTACATTTGCTTATGCACAAATTCATCTGAAAATAGTACTAGGTGAATGTAGAAAAACAGCTTCTACAAGCTTCTTCGGTTTACCATGTGTATTGTGTACCACACCAGTCCACATATGGTGTTACAACCTTTCATCCAATTTCAGATAGCCTTCCTTCCCATACTGCATAATAACTCACAAGTTGAAATCTGTTTGATGCTCATTTCCAAAAACAAGCTTCATGTCTTATTCAAGATAAAGAGCTATGTTTCTTGTAGTATGTATTTCTTAATCATTTAACTGTATAAAGCTGGATTAATGTTCTTATTAAGTTTTTATTTTTTTTAATGTATCATCGACAGTTTTTTTGTGTTCTGTGCACCTTACCCCATTTTCCTCATATATCCTGCAGTTTTTATCATATGATTTTTCACAGTGAGGTGATTTTCAGGATGTTGTATGCAGTGTTATAGCAGAACTGACTGTAATTTGTCAAGGAATTTAATTGTTTGATATGTATTAGCTTATTTGCAACTTACATTCTGTAAAGCACTATAACAAACATTCAGCCTATATCATTAATTTTGTTTTGCTTTTATTCAGATAATTTCCCTTGAAACATAGTATAGTGATTCTCAAAGTAAAATGGCAATCTTAGTAATGTGTATTATCATGTATTTACCTATAATTTATGGTCTCCTTAACTGTTTATTTCTGGCTTATATAAAACTACATAGAAAACAAAGGCTACAAGTGAGCGACAAAAGAAAACTATGAAAATGGAGAAGAAAAAAGACGAAGGAATATCTGAAGATTCAGAAGAGTAAGACATAAAGATACTTGTTAATATTTTTTACTTATAAACTTATATTTTCATTTTATACAATTTAGGGTCATATAAATATAACTTATTAACAGGTTTCTAAAAAAGCATAGCATTAGCAAATACATAGTTTTATAAGCAGACCAGGATATGATTATGGGAGAAAGCTGAGAAGGGAAGAGCAAAGAACTAAAAATGGGTTAGAGTAGAATAAATCACAAGATATTCAGGAATAGGTAAACAATTAAATACAAATAATTTTAGGGAAAAAAGGATTTACAGTGTTTTCTTGATGGTTTAGCTAATGATTTGTAATTTGTATGTTAATCCCTCTCCCCATTCTGGGCTCTTCCTTTTTACTGTACTTCTTGGTTGTCTTATTTTATTAAAAAAAGTATCTGTTTTTAATGTATCTGGGTTATTGTAAAGTGGCCTTACCAAGAGAATATTTTCTTTACTAATATAAAATAACTTGTGCAGTTGGAATTTGCTTGATCAAACCCTCATATAAATATATAGCTTATTAACAAAACTATGAATTCAAACTTTATAGAGCTCCACAAATTCTGAAAAGAAATTCATCAGACAAATGGCCTTTTCTTGAGAAAATAAAAGATGACCAGAGAAGAAAAAATGACTAATGTACTTTGGAATTCTTTTCCCATCTCAACGTACCATATTTTAATCATACCAACGAGATGTCAGTTTGAGAAATGTTATTCAATTATTTATCATTTAACCTTTATCAATTTTATGGCTTTTAAAAATATGAATTTCTTATGAAATTTTACTTTCTTTTTTATTCAAGTATAATTGGCTTATTATATTAGTTACAGGTATATGACACAGTAATTTGATATTTTAATACATTACAAATTGATCACCATGATAAGTCTGTCACCACACAAAGTTATTATGATGTTAATGACTATATTCCCTATGCTATACATTACATCCCATGACTTATTGATTTTATAACTGGCATTTTGTATTTCTTTATCTCCCTTACCTATTTAAATTATTCCCCTTCCCTCCTCCCCACTGGAAACCACCAGTTTGTTCTCTGTACCTATGAGTTTGCTTCTGTTTTGCTATGTTTGTTCATTTGTTTTTTAGATTCCATATATAAGTGAAATCATACAGTATTTGTCTCTTTGTCTGACAATCCATGTTGTCACAGATGGCAAGATTTCATTCTTTTTGTTGGTTGAGTTATATTACATCATATATATGATATCTATATCTATATCTGTATATACACACATACATACCACATCTTCTTTAGCCATTCATCTATTGATGGGTACTTAGGTTACTTCCATATCTTGGCATTTATAAATAATGATGCAATGAACATAGGGGTGCATGTATTTTTTTGGGATAGTGTTTTTGTTTTCTTTGAAAAAATACCCAGAAGTGGACTTGATGGATCATATGGTAGTATTATTTTTAATTGTTTGAAGAACTCCCATACTTTTTTTTATAGTGACTGCACCAATTTACATTTCCACCAACAAAGCACCAAGGGTTCCTTTTTCTCCACATCCTTGCAGCACTTGTTATTTGTTGTCTTTTTGATAATAGCCATCCTGACAGGTGTAAGGTGATATCTGATTGAGGGTTTTTTTTTTCTTTTTTTTTCTTTCTTTTTTTTTTTTTGTGGTACACAGGCCTCTCACTGTTGTGGCCTCTCCCGTTGCAGAGCACAGGCTCCGGACGCGCAGGCTCAGCGGCCATGGCTCACGGGCCCAGCCGCTCCGTGGCATGTGGGATCTTCCCGGACCGGGGCACGAACCCATGTCCCCTGTATCGGCAGGCGGACTCTCAACCACTGCGCCACCAGGGAAGCCCCTCATTGAGGTTTTAATTTGCATTTCCCTGGTGATTAGTAATGTTGAGCATCTTTTCATGCACCTGTTGGCCATCTAGACACCTTGTTTGGAAAAATGTCTATTCAGGTTCTCTGCCATTTTAAAATCAGATTTTTTGGTTTTTTTGATGTTAAGTTGTAGGAGTTCTTTGTATTTGGATATTAACTCCTTATCACATGTATCATTTGGGAATATCTTCTCCCATATAGTACGCTGACTCTTCATTCTGTTGCTAGTTTGCTTTGCTGTGCAAAAGCTTTTTTCAGTTTGATGTAGTTCCATTTGTTTATTTTTCCTTTTGTTTCTCTTGCCTGAGGAGACATATACCAAAAATATGGCTAACACCAATGTTGAAGAGTGTACCACTTATGTTACCTTCTAGGAGTTTTATGGTTGCAGGCCTTATAGTTAAGTCTTTAATCCACTTTGAGTTTACTTTTGTATATGGTGTGAGAATGTAGTTCAGTTTGATTCTTCTACAATACATGTAGCTGTTCAGTTTTCCCAACATCATTAATTGAAGAGGCTGCCTTTTTCACATTGTATATTCTTGCCTCCATTGTCTTAGATTCATTGACCATATATGTATGAATTTATTTCTGGGCTCTCTACTCTGTTTCATTGAACTGTGTGTCTGTTTTTGTCCAGTGCCATACTGTTTTGATTACTGTATCTTTGTAGTATAGGTTGATATCAGGGCACATGCTACCTCCAGCTCTGTTCTTTCTCAAGATTGTTTTGGCTACTTGGGGTCTTTTTGTGTTACCATAGAAATTTTAGAATTATTTGTTCTAGTTCTGTGAAAAATGCCATTGGTATTTTTATAGAGATTGTACTGAGTCTGTAGACTTCTTTTGGTAGTATGTCATTTTAACAATGTTAATTCTTCCACTCCATAAGCATAGAATATTTTTCCATTTGTTAATGTTATTTTTAATTTCTTTTATAACTTTCTTACAGGTTTCCAGGTTCAGGTCTTTTACCTCCTCAGTTAGATTTATCCCTAAGTACTTTATTCTTTTTGATACAATTATGAGTGGGATTGTTTTCTTAATTTCTTTTTCTGATAGTTTGTTGTTAGTGTGTGAAACCCAAGAGATTTCTGTATATTAATTTTGTATCCTGCAACTTTACTGAGTTCACTTATTGTTTCTAATAGTCTTTTTTGGTAGCATCTTTAGGATTTTCTAAATGTAGTATCATGTCATGTGCAAACGATGACAGTTTTATTTTTTTCTTTTCCAATTTGAATTCCTTTTATATCTTTGTCTTGTCTGATTGCTGTGGCTAGGACTTCAGTTTCAACATTATGTTGAATAAAGGTGATGGGCATCCTTGTCTTATTCTTGATGTTAGAGGAAATGTTTTCAGCTTTTTCTTGTAGAATATGATGTTGGCTTTGGGTTTTTCATATAGTACCTTTATTATGTTGAGGTATGTTCCCTCTGTATCTACTTTGTTGAGAGTTTTTCTCATAAATGGATTTTGAACTTTGTCAAAAGCTTTTTCTACATCTATGAAGATGATCATATGATATTTATTCTTTGTTTTGCTAACATGGTTTATTATGTTAGTTGATTTTTGGATGTCAAATTATCCTTGCAACCATAGTTAGAATCCCACTTGATCATGGTGTATGATCCTTTTAATGTATTGTTGAATTTGGTTTGCTAATATTTTGTTGAGGATTTTTGCATCTATATTTATCAGTGATATTGATTTGTAACTTTCCTTTTTTGTGGTGTCTCTAGCTGGTTTTCATATCAGGATGATGCTTGTCTCAGAATGAGTTCAGAGTGTTCCCTCCTCTTGAAATTCTTTGAATAGTTAGAGAAGGGTAAGTGTTAACTCTTTCTTAATGGTTGTTAGAACTCACCTTTGAATTGATCTGGTCATGGACTTTGGTTCATTGGGAGTTTTTTGATTACTGATTCAATTTCATTTCTGGTAATCACTCTGTTCATATTTTCTATTTCTTCCTGATTCAGTCTTGGGAAATTGTACATTTCTAGGAATTTATCCATTTTTTCTAGGTTGTCCATTTATTGTGTATAATTGTTTGTACTAATCTCTTATGTATTTCTGTGGTGTCAGTTGTAATTTCTCTTTCATTTTTTATTTTATTTATTTGGGACCGCTCTTTCTTTTTTTCTTGTTTAATCTGGATAAAGTTTTGTCAGTTTTGTTTAACTTTTCAAAACCAGCTCGTAGTTTCCTTGACCTCTTTTATTTTTTCTTTTAGTCTTTATTTGATTTATTTTTGTTCCGATCTGTATTATTTATTTTCTTTTACTAATTTTGGGCTTTATTTGTTCTTCTCTTTCTAATTCCTTTAGGTGTAAGGTGAGATTGTTTATTTGAGATTTTGTGTGTTTGTTTCCTGAGGTAGGGTGCCAGATCCTGCCTCATGTGGTGGTTGCTGGCCTGCTGGTGGGCAGGGCTGGGTACCCAGGCTGGGGGTCAGGGGCTCCTTGGGCTAGTGTCAGCCTGCTGGTGAGTGGGTAAGCCCCTGGTACTAATAGTCTAGAGGGAGGATTCCAAAATGGTGCTTGAGAGCACCTTGTCCTCATGGTAGAATGAGCTCCCCAAAATGGGTGCTGCCAGCCTTTGTGTCCCCAAGGGGAGTCCCAGTTGCCTCCTACCTCTCCAGGAGGCTCTCCAAAATCAGCAAATGGGTCTGACCCTGGCTCCTTTTAAATTACCACCACTACGCTGGGACTCAGCATGTGAGATTTTGCATGTCCCAGAAGAGTGGGATCTACGTTTCCTACAGCCCTCCTGCTCTCCAATATGCAAGCCCTGTTGGCCTTCACAGACCAACAGGGCTTGCATATTGTTCTTGGGGCTCATCTTCTCAGTGTTGGACCCCTGGGGTAGGGAGTCTGATGTGGAGCTCAGACCCCTCACTCCTTGGGGGAGAACAACTGCAATTGTGATTATCTTCCCATTTGTGGGTCACCTACCCAGGAATGTGGGTCTTCACTATACTGAGTCTTTACCCCTCCTATCCATCTCATTGTGGTTACTTCTTAATATCTTTACTTGTGGACAGTCTTTTCTGGTAGTCTTCATGTCATTCTCATCAATAGTTGCTCTGTAAATAGTTGTAATTTTGGTGTGCCTGTGGGAGGAGGTAAATTTGGGGTCTTCCTACTCCATCATTTTGGGTGCCCCTCTCAAAATTTCATTTCTTTAAAATGGTTTAAGTACTCATCAAGAAAGCAAAGTAGTCATGCAAATATCATAAAATATCATGATATATTTTAAAACATTTTTTTTTTTCAGGAAGAAGTCTATAGTGAAAGAGCTTAAAGTAAAAGAAGATATGCCTCAAGTCCAGGTAACACAGAATCTCTCTCTGTGCATCTAAATGTGATTAATAAGGCTCTGATAATTGTATATATAGACAATATTAGTATGTATATGAATATAGGTGTGTATGTATGTGTGTTTGTGAGTGTATATGTGTACTAAATTTCTTCCTAAGATACTTCTTTCTTGTCAGTTGACTTTTCTCAGCAAGTTTCGAAAACCAAATGTTAAATTTAGACACACTTACTGTCAAGGTTATGAAAATTATCATAGTTCACTCAATTATAGGCAGTATCATGGAGGAAAGAACATCATATTATGAGTCAGAGCAGACTTACTAGTTAAGTGACATTAGACAAGTCCCTTTAACCTACTTGAACTTCATATTTTTCATCACTAAAATGGGTAAAACAATAACTTCCCTATCTATTTTAAGAAGGTATAAGAGATGCAAGAAGCAAATAGGAAAAATTTTCAGAGATTGTAAATATAGCCCACTCTTTTTTATGTGATCCAATGAAAAGAATACAAGTAACCCTTTGTTTCATCTTGTCTTTGGTAAACTTTCTTTTGCTACAAGTTAACTTCTTAACTATCAGAGCATCATGTCACCCATTTGGTCACTCTCATCCCATGAGTGGCTGGACTAAGTGTCCTACAAGTATGTACCTGCATGATTCAAGAATCAAATAACATAAATTTGCAAAGAAAATGAGAGTACTGCTTGAAATATTGAATATAAAATGAACAACTTTATGGTATTAGTTTTCTATTTCTGCATAACAAGTTACCTCACATTTTGCAGCTTAAAACAATTTAAATTGTCTCATAGTTTTGAATGGCTTAGGAGTCTGAGCATGGCTAATCTGTGTCCTATGCTCAAGGCCTCACCATACAGCAGTCAAGGCGTTGGCTAGGCTCTGCTTTTTTTGGTCACTTGGGGTCCTCTTCCAAGCTTAAGTTGATGTGGCAAATTTCAGTTCTGTGCAGTTGTAGGACTGGGGCATTTAGCCATGTGGCCTTCTCCATAAGCAGTTTACATTATAGCATCTCACTTCTTCTTTAAGGCCAGCAAAGAGTCTCTCTTTCTTGCTAAGACAGTCTCATGCAATATAATATGATCATGAGAGTGACACCTTATCACCTCAGCTATATAGTTGATCCTTGAACGACATGGAGGTTAGGAATGCCATCCCCTCCCTCACAGTTGAAAATCTGCATACTGCTATCTCTGCCTCAAAAACAAAGGAATTGATAAATGACTCACCAAAGGGCAGGAAGGCGAAACAGCTAGGGTAGAGTCAGGACTCAAACCCTAGTTATTTTATTTTATTATTTTTTATTTTTTATTTTTTTTGCGGTACGCGGGCCTCTCACTGTTGTGGCCTCTCCCGTTGCAGAGCACAGGCTCCGGATGCGCAGGCTCAGTGGCATGGCTCGTGGGCCCAGCCGCTCTGTGGCATGTGGGATCTTCCCAGACCGGGGCATGAACCTGTGTCCCCTGTATCAGCAGGTGGACTCTCAACCACTTCGCCACCAGGGAAGCCCCAAACCCTAGTTCTTTTGATTCCACATATTGTGATCTCTAATCGAACACACTTTTCCCTATATGTAGTTGATATAAAGATCTGTAAAATGAAAATATAGGTACAGTATTCATTGAAAAATATCCTTGTATAAGTGGACCCAGGCAGTTCAAACCCATGCTGTTCACAGGTCAAATATATAATACAGTCTAGTAAGTGGATTGGCATCTCATCACTGTGCAATATTCTGTTGGCTAAAAGCAAGTCACAGGTTGTATTCACACTAAAAGGAGTGGATTATACAGAGCATAACTTTAGGGATGGAGATCATGGAGGCCATTTTAGAATTCTGCCTACCATACCAGGTGATTTTATATAGAACAGCATTTTGTGTGTATTTTAAAAACATTTATTATAATTCCATTTTTTAATTAATATTGTAAGTCTTGAAACTAGTGTTTTAGTTCATTTGGGCCATGTCTTAGTCCCTTCAGACTGCTTTAACAAAATGTCAGGGATTGGGTAGCTTATAAACAACAGAAATTTATTTTTAACAGTTCTGGGGGCTAGATGTTCAAAATCAGAGTACCAGCATGATGGGGTGAGGGTCCTCTTCTGGCTTTCAGAATTCTTGTATTCTCATATGGCAGAAGGAGAGCTTTCTCAGGCCCCTTTTATAAGGGTGTTAATCTCATTCATGAAGGCTCTGCCCTCATGACCTAATCACCTCCCAAAGGCTTTGCCTCCTAATATGATCACAGTGGGCATTAGGATTTCAACATAATGAATTTGGGGGCAGGACACAAACATTTGGACCATAGCAGGCTTCTGTAACAAAATACTTTAGACTGGGTAGCTTAAATAACAAACATTTATTTCTCACAGTTCTGGAGGTAGGGAAGTCCAAAGATCAAGTCACCAGCAGATTTGGTGTCCAGTGAGAACCTGATTCCCGGTTCATAGATGGCCATATTCTTGCTGTGTCTTTACATGGCAGAAATGGCAAAGGAGCTCTCTAGAATCTCTTTTATAGGGTGCTAATTCCATTCATGAGAGTACCACCCTCATGACCTATTCATCTTCCAGTGGCTCCACCTCCAAATACCATTACATTAGGGATTAGATTTCAGTATATGAATTTCGGGGGGCACAAGCATTCAATTTGTCGCAGATAGTGTCATTTAAATTTTTTTTTCTGAATTTAAAATAAAAATTTTCTGTGTGGGTATAATATTTTCTGGAGAAGGTCTGTGGATTTAATGAGAATTTTAAAGGAATTTGGGAATTTATCTCCCTCCTCCAAAACTCCATTATGAACTATCACTGATCTAGACCATTTTACAGAGACCAATAGAAGCTAAAATGTGACTTGCTTAGTTTAGAGAACAAATTGGTACTGAAATCTGAACTGCAGACATGGCTCTCGGAATCCTGCTTAGCATTTGCAATTATAGTCAGTCCTTGAACAACATGGGTTTGTGCTGTGAGGGCCCACTTATACATGGATTTTTTCCAATAAATATGTACTGTAGTACTACACAATCTGTGGTTGGTTGAATCTGCAGGTGTGGAACCATGTATACAAAGGGCCAGCTGTAAATTTATATGTGGATTTTCCATTGGGTGGGTTCCTGTAACCCCCATGTTTTTCAAGGGTAAGTTATAGGGAAAATGTATTCGGTTTTGCTTCCTCAGGCAGGCATGGGTATTAGAATCAGTTGGTATTATTATCTATCTGTCCAAGTAAGTATAATGTTTGTAAAATTTTTTAATAAGTCATGTGAAACTATATTTTAGTTTTTTTACATGACATAGTTTTTTTATTAGTTGTTCATTAGGGTATGGATTGGATTTTGCAGTCAGGGAGAACAACTAGAGAGTTTTTGCAATAATTTAACTCAGTGATAAACTAGTTAATTATAAGTTAAATATATTAAGATAGAAATGTAAATAACATTTCTTATAATCCAAATTTTACTGTTGCCAAATGGAAAGATTTAATTTTACAAAAATATTAATCCCTTAAAATTAATAAATGTACTGCATTTCTAGTCAGAATTCAAAAAGGACTTTTTTAAAAGGCAGAAATGATTTGAAGATTATGTAGAATTTACCTGTAAAGTTATCTAGGAGCCTTTTAAAAAATGGTAGTTCTTTGACCAGTTTCCAAATTCCTTTTGAGATTATTGGTGCATCTATTTTTGTAGTTTATATTTTCATATAAATTTATCCATTTCTAATGGTTTTTCAAGTGTACTGCTTGAATTTTACGTTACATGTTTTTTTTCTGTATCTCTATTTCTAACTTCTTTTTCCATTTACAGAAGTGTTTGTTGTTGTTTTTTCCTTTCCTTTTAATCAGGTTTGTCAGGGGATTATAATTTTTATATAAAAATAGGTTTGGAGTTTCACTTAGCTATTTTACTGTTTTATTTCTTGTTGCTGTTACTGTTTGTTTTCTACTTAATTACTCTAACCTTTATTGTTATTAATTTCTTCTGCCACTTTTTGTCTTTGGTTTATTTTTAGTTTCTTTTTCAAATCTGTATTAGTTATATAGGTAGTTTATTTATTTTTACATTTGTTTAATTACAGTAAACAATATTGAGGCTACACATTTTTCACTGAATACAACTTCATTTGTACTTTATAGGTGTTTGAGTTTTTCTTTGTTTCACAAAAATGTTTTTAGTTCATCTTTTCATTGTTGATTTACCTTTTTATAGAATTAACATCAGAAAATAGTACATAGAAAGCCCATACTTTTTGAAAGTTTTAAAAGGTATGTTTTGTGGTCAAGTGCATATGTTTATTTCAGTTTTCTATTACTCTATAACAAAGTACAACTAATATTTAGAGGTTTACTACACCAATAGTTAATTATTTCTCATTGATTTTTGGGTTGGCTGGGCTTATCGGGATGATTCTTCTGCTCCATGTTGTACTGGGGTCACTCATGTAGCTTCATTCAGCTTTAGAATGTTTAAGATGGCTTCCTCAAATGTCTGGTGGTAAGTGGAATGGCTAAGGGCTGAATCTTTCTTTCATGTGGTTGATCATCATTTAGTAGTCAAGCCCATGTATCATTACACAGAAGCTGGACTCCAGTAGGTCAAAAGAAACTGCAAGAACCTTTAAGACCTGCACTCAGAAGCCCTAGAACATAATTTCCCCACATTTTACTGGTTAGGGGCCAGCCCAGACTCAAAGGGAGGGAAAATATATTCTACTTTTTGATGGGAGAAAGAGCATATGTAGGTAGGGGTGGTACAAATTATAGATGGTCATTTTTGGAAATAGTCTATGATAGTCTTCCCTCTGGCTACATGTTAATATTTCTCCCACATGCAAAATGTACTCACCTCTTCCTTCTAAAATCTCATTACATTCTAGTTTTATCTTGAAGTCTAAGATCTTATCATCTCTACCAGGTCTAGATATGGATGAGGCTTCTTGGCACAGCTCCTTTTGATCTGGAGATGTGTTATCTAAAAAGGCAAGT